TCAACAGACTACTGTGATAACTTGCATTGTCCGTTACAATGACGCTATTAGGAGGAATGTTTGGAACTAGTTTGTTTTTAAACCAACTTTCAAATAAATCAGCGGTGGTGTCTTCATGGTAATCCAGAATAGAATCTTAAATATTTTTCGCAGGCAGAGATAGTCCATTTGGAATCCAACCATCTTTAGAGCCAGCATGCAAAATGGTTATTCTTTTAACTCTTTTTGATGGCGCGTTTGTTTTACGCTTATCAGTTGAGTCAACCCAAACCTTTTCCTGGGTATCATAAGTGTCGGACCAGGTTTCATCCAAGTAAATAATTGGCCTTTGTTGTTCTCTGTAAATCCTAATTTTTTCTATATATTCCAGTCGCCAATTCCGAATTTTAAAAGATTCCATTAAAATTTGCCTTTTGTCAATTTTTTTAAATCTAAAACCTATGTGTTGAATACACTTCCATAAGGTAGTTCTGCCACATTTAACACCGGTTTCATCTTTTTCAAGCCTCCTGATTAAGATATCTAATGTAGGCATGCTTTGTTCCTCGTATAACTGGTAAATTTTACGCCGTATTATATCTTGATCACTTTCACCTACACTCGAGAAAATGTCAGCATCGCTTTTTTCAATACAGTTGATGTTGGAATTTTCGTGAATGTGGCCGTTTCTTCTAAAGATGCTTGCTTGCTGGCACCACGTTCAATGAGAGTCAAAAATAAACATTATTTATAACTTCCTTAATCTCAATAGAATAATGTTTTCTACATTTGGGCGGGAGCATCTCCTGAGATACACTAGACTCACACATGTTTTGCATAATTCGCACACGATTCAACACACGCTGTATTACACATGAAATAAGAATGATTACTAATAAACTTAAACTAAGTAGTATACCAAACCAAAGAATATTAAACACAGGTAGGTATAAAATTATTTTCTATTAGGGACGACAATTTTACCTGAATTTAAATTCCGAAACTTTAGGTAATAATCTTGTTGCATTGTATGTTAATGACCACCCCTGGATAATCTCATTCAACAGCAATTGGCCACCCCTCAACAACAAATGACTACCGCGCAACGATCTCTCAGGTGGACCCTTATATCCTCACAGCGGTAGATTGCGAAAATACGCTTGAAATAATGCCACCTGCTTTTTTTTTCTCAAAAATCCCAAAGACTGAAGAATGTCACTTAGTCGCGAATATTCCAAACCTCCTGTTAAAACCTAGGGTGGATTTAATTGTAACATAGGCATTAAGTAGTTAGTATTAAACCGGTATTTTACCAATTTACCGAATTAACCTTTTTTTGTAATAAATAGCTTTAGTGTTAACGTAAAGTTAACTACCAGGCATATTTTACTAATTTGCCTTCTTTAGTTATGGGAACAAAAAAAAGGTTTGGGTTAATTCCTTCCGACGTCTTAATGGTCCGTCTCCCGAAATAATACCACGTCTGAAAGTAGTAGAAATCTGTCTTCGGGTTTATAAAGAGCGGTGTATGTTTTGTTGTCGTTTTATAAGATTAACGTTTGATATATTATGGCCTTTTGAAAATAAACGAGATCTAAAAAGCCTCTCGGAACAAATAACTGGCTCGGTTCCCAAAGTAATTTAATTGTTATTAAATAGTTTTGTGTCGCTTGTTGAAACATCATAACGAAAAAGGCCCGAAAATAGTTAAATTTATATTTTCCCGTTTTTTAAGCTCTCAACTAAAGCACTTAACTGGTTAGTTTTACACTTATTACAGGACTACTCAGACTTCATAAAACGATGACTACAACTGGCATTTTAGTTTAGCTTCTCAGTATTAAGAAATGTTTAATATGTATAATTATATAGGCAATGTTTTTTGTCATAGCTAAGCAACGGAGAAAATGCAAAATGCATCTGTTTTATACAAAAATGCATTTTTCTACTCCATTCTGTAAAATGCCTAATTACACGCCGATCGAGCGTGCGGTAAGCGTCACTTTACCACGTCAGTTTCTTGTCCCACTGACAATTCTGACAGTCATGTCAGTGAATGTTTTCGTGTTGTTTTGCAGAAATCTACCCAACACTTTTGGTAAACTTCTTAAGTCACTCGTTTATTAAACACTCGCTCCGCTGCGCTCCGCTCGCCAAATAGACTCGTGATTCAGATGTCGTTTACCACACTTGTTGCATGAGTATGCACAATTTTTGCGCCTATTTATGAAAATATTATCTACTCTGTGTAATTTGTAGATAGATAGATAGAAGTTGCGATCATAAAAGTAATGTATAAGATGCACTATCAAACAATCTAGAACTAAGCAACGAAACCTCCCTAGACGTAATGCAAAATACATGAAACTGTTGCAATGATCTACTAAAAAATTGCAAGAAATTTGAAATTTGTTTTTTATAAACTTATAGATTTAAGTTCGATAAAAAATGTAAACCAAGTCAAAATCATAAAAAGGCTACGACTGAAAGTTATTATTTATAAAGATACTATTGTAAAGAAAATCATTTCGCTCCACTTATTCAAAATTACCAAACATCGATTCCGATGTGGTTTTTGGTTTACTTTTTAGAAAAAGTCAACGACCTCACCAAGAAACTTTTAAGTATTATTAGTCTATGAGTGAAGGATTTTGACACCACACACATAGTATTATAAAAATGCCACTGAAGAATTTGTTTAAAAAAAGCAGTAGATGTTCCAATTTAACTTGAGAAATTGTAAACGATTGTTATCAAAAATGGTAATAAACAATTTATTTAAAGGAAGTGTATTTCAATGTAACCTAAATGTACGAAGATTGCTGGAAAATTGGTTTTAGAGAACAAAAAAGTTAATATGAAATTAATACAGTTTTGTTTTTATACGGCACTTCAAACATTAAACGTTCCCATTTTGACTTAGTATATGTGGTAAATATACTTTTGCGAATATTTAACCATTTAATTAAAGCCTTAAAATACTTTAAGCTACGTTTATTAAGTGTCAAAATTTGAAAAAAACAAGCCGAAATTCCCAGTTAAAATACATTCAAACCGAACCAGACTTCAGTAACGGATTTGTGTACACATTGAACTGTTTCTGTTTGTGTTTATTAAAAATAAAATAATTCAGTAGCACCCCCACATGCAGCGTGTGCAAACAGGAACACAAGACAGTCGAACACAGTCTGTGCGAGTGTTTAAACTAGCTTGACGAATTATATGCATCCCCTATGGTAGGAGACGAATCTTGGTCATATTCTACGAGGAGTCACTAGGCTTGATATAAAGCTGAGTGCTCTGTTCAGGAGGAAACCTAGTCCTAAGCGCAATCGAATAAAATTACCATAATTTCATTCTTACTAATAACGACTTTTTAAAATGATTCATTCATTCATTCATATTCAAGGTATGATAAAACGGTTGTGCTAAAATACCTAATATAAAAAAAAACATGAAAACAAGTATTCTAAACAAATCTTCTGTCAAATTTGACAACATTTTTTTTACATAAGTACGTCACTAAATAATATGATTTTCTCAGTATTTTATAGTTTTTCTTTATATTTTGTTTATATTATATATAGTATATATAATATATAATAATAGCTAAAACATTTGATATTTCTCGACATATCTTTAGAATCAAATTTCCCTTCCAGACATAAGTTGTTGCTGCGCGTCAGTGGTCCGAAAAACAAATTGACGTCAAAAAAGGATGTCTTATTAACATCACAAAAATGACCTCCGAATGTCGTCATAAAATGACTTGATTAATTCCAAATATGGACTTTAAACTTAATAATTAATTTAAACGATTATCAAATTCTTCTATTCTATTTAAAACCATAAAGCAGGAAATATATCTACAGGGTGTCCAAAGCAATATATTTCGTTTATTGTGTGTTTTCGGGGAAAATTTTAAGTGCAAAATATATAGACGAGACTAAAAGAAACAATTTAAAATTATTTTTAAATATAGAGGGGATTCCTAAAAATTTTAAAAATCAAACTTGTATTTTTAAACATCCTATGGAACTATGGCATTAATAGTAGCCAGTAACCCAATGCAGTGTTGTTTATGGTCTATAAGCGTCTTCGGATTTATGGCAATTTTTTCCTAAAAAATACCCTGTGTTTAATACCCGATATGCGGTTTCGAACAACTGTAATTTTATTAAGAAGTATATGGTCAACAAATGGTCAAGAATCAAGGAATATATCAAAAAGAAAGAAATATACCTGGCCCACCCCTGCCTTGTCACACAAGTAAGAATAAATTTGTTGTTAATGGACTTACCAAATAACAATAGGTAATTACATCGTAAAGTTTTATTGGGGAGGGTCTATCGAAATCCAACACGATGAAGATTGAGACAGACTATACTGTCGTTTATCCTATACTTCTCTTGAAGTTAGTTCAAATCGTTTATACAGGGGAGTCAAAATGACAAATATTAATTTTCATGAAAAAAAAAACAAATTGAAGACCCTGTATATTATACTTCCATTATTATTATTTTTTTAAAGAAAGGCTCATCTTTATTCATTACCTATAATTTTTCGGAAAGGCGTTCTATGTAATTTAAAGTGGCAATTTCTTTATGATTGACTTTCGATTTTCCTCACTACAAAAAGAAAAAACCATTTTAAAAATCGTCATATTTTTTGGCATTATAGACCAAAATCTGACTTTAAGTTGACGTAAAAAAGATTTCACCTAAATCACAAAAATTCACGACACTAATTGACTTCAAAAACACGCGACTTAAATGACATTATTAAGTCAAATTCATGTCCTGCTGACCTCATATGTAACATTTTTTTCGTCAATTGGTGATTAGTTAATGAAGTAATTTTGACGACCCTCTGCTACCTGGGCAATATTGATTAATATTACCAATATAATTTCAGTAATTATAGGTAAATATCGTACATGTCCTCTAATTCTAATGAGTGTGTATACTAAACAATACAAAAAAAATCTGCTCGAAAAGAACGCACAATCTCTATAATTTCAGGTGGTAACTCCAAAAAAATTCAACGACGTTTACCTGTACGACATGCCTCCTTCAAGATGCTCCCCAATTCCAGTTTCTGGACTGAGCCCGGGCCTGAGTCCGCGTGATCAACCAATCGGAAGCGACTGTTACGACGTGCCGCCCAGAGCCGTACCCGTAGGCAATGAAAACTTTCGGAATTGCCCTCGATGTTCCCCGGCACCATCTTGCGTTTCACCGATAAGTCGAGAATCGGGAGACGCATACGACATACCCAGACCACTGAATCCCAACCAACTAACCCCATCCAGTTCGGCGAGTTCCCTTACCACGGCGGATTCACTTAGTTCCTCAAATCGCAGCAGTCTGGCCAACATGCCAGACTACGATGTTCCTAGACCATTGAATCCGCTTAATCACCACAGGGGGCCGCAATTGGCCCTTTCTTCGTCTACGTACGATGTCCCCCCGCATCAGCAGCAACTGAAAGAATTACCTTTAGAACTATGTTCGGCATTGGAAAATTTGGAGAGGCTACAGACTGATACGATGAGTGCAATTTCGAAACTGCTCGGGTTTGTCGCACCCAACTGGCGAGCGAGAGACAAATTGGAAAACACCAGGTTTGTTTCACTCCTGTTACCAGTTGCTTTCGTTTAATTTAATATCTGCGAAAAAAACATTTGCTTAGGGTAAGCTAGAGTTTAGTTTACTTTTGAACAAGTCTTATTTTTTTCAATTCTCCGGCAAAATATTTTTCGTTGTAGTTATAACCATTTGTTTTCCTATCCTCAATTCAACGATAAAAGTATTTTATTATGTCACCATTCTTTCGATCCTTCGTGTGTAGAGAAAATTTAAATAAATGCGGGATGTTATTGAAATGACGAAAAATCGATATTTTGTTTGGTCCGAATCTGCTAAACAAACCCGATTTTAGGCAATCTCATCAAAAAATGTTAATTTCGATAATTAAGCTGCACAACCTATTTAATCTATTCATCTTCTACATGGTACAAAACTAAACAGAATTAACCAACAATACCGTTAATATTTGTTTATGTTGTTACTCAAGTTATGTTTCGTTCACTAGCTGGAAGGAACAAAAGCGTTAGATGGTTAATAGGTCGGACGGCAAACAAGATTCGTTTTATATTGTTTATGTTGGCTTTAAAACTAATGGGTGTTTTTTTTCGATATATAGAACTTTAAGCATTACTGTTCAAGATGGTGACCGATTTAACAGCTGTCAAGTGATTTATTCTCAGTTTGGTTTGGCAATTCATCATGAATAGACTCACACCTGAAAAACGCTTGCAAATAGTGCAATTTTATTTCGAAAATCATGGTTCCGTGCGGAATACGTATCGCGCACTACGTCCATTTTAACGTCGACAAAATCGTCCATCAGAGCAATTAATTCGATTAACCATGGACCGTTTTTTTTCGCACCACGTTTACTCTTATTGATAACTCGCATCCCCAGAGACGCCGTACGGTGCGTACAGAAGAAGCTATTGCTGCTGTAGAGTGTAGCATTGAGAAAGACCCGAATGAGTCCATCCGCCATCGAGCACAGGAATTGGATCTGTGTCCATCCACTTTATGGAAGATTTTGCGGAAGGATCTTGGTTTACGTGCTTACAAAATCCAACTCGTGCAAGAATTGAAGCCAAACGATCGTCAAGTAACGCGTAGATTCGTCGAATGGGCCCAAAACGAGATTGCCGTGGTTCCCGATTTTCATAAGCGAATTTTGTTTAGCGATGAAGCGCACTTTTGGTTGAATGGCTACGTAAACAAACAAAACTGCCGCATTTGGAGTGAAATCATATTTAAAATGTAATGCCACAAGATTATCTTTCGGATAAAAAAAAAATCATGTCAATCGAATAATCCATCGTTGTTTTATTGCAACTTAAAGTTCTATACATCGAAAAAAAACACCCCTTATTATAGCATTGCAAGTATAGACAAGTCTCCTATAAATCTAGTATCTACATAGGCAAAACAAATCCGTATTTCTTAGCGAGAGAGTTCTGCGATCGTTTCTTGAATTGTTTTTGTATTAGTGTGTGCCTATGAGACGAAGATTGGAGATTTTTAATTCATCCCTTGGCAATTCTAACCGTTGTAGAAAGAAAGTCAATAATGTTCTGCCATGATTAAAAGTTTATTTGGTCCAGATTATATCATCATACGTTGATATAATTCGTAACTGAAAACTTTAATTTCCTTGTCTTAGGCTGGAAATCAAATTGGCCGTCACGAGACTGAGGACGTCCCTTCACGATCTGGCCGAGTTCGGCGAGGGCTCCTTGGGCAACGCATCTAAAGCATCCGATAAAAATCTGGTAGTGAAATTAGCGCCCTTAGTAACCGCGCTCCGAAAGTCCGACTGTCTTGTACAAGAAGCGTCGGAAAAACTCGAACGACACAAATGGTCAATAGACCTCCTGTCTCGGCCCGAGAACGAGGAAAAAAATTGCAAACCGGACGAGCTGGAGCAGTTGGTGGCTTGTTCGCGAGCGCTGACGGAAGACGTTCGGCAAATCGCATCGTTTATACAAGGTAATGGTACTCTTCTGTTCAAAAGGGAGCGACCGCCAAGTAACAACGGCTGGTTGGAAGAGTACGACTACGTAAGTTTAGACTCGAAGGAGAACATATCGAAGAGTCACACCCAAATCATAAACGACTTACCGAAAGAACTGAAAAAGGGTTACGACGTCTGCGTGAAACACGCCGACGACGTCGCGTTCGATAACGACCCGAAAAGTTTAGGCTACGACGACAGACAGTTACTGACCTTTTTCGCAACCCAGGTGGTCACGCATCACACAAATTTAACCCAAGCGATCGACGCGTTCTTGAAGACGGTCGAACACAACCAGCCTCCGAAAATATTCCTAGCCCATGGCAAATTCGTAGTCTTAAGTGCCCACAAATTGGTCCATATCGGAGACACCGTTCACCGAAACGTTTCCTGCAAAGACATCAAAGACAGAGCCTTGCACTGTGCCAACACCCTATCCGATGCTTTAGCCGCGAGTGTCAACAAAACGAAACAGGCTGCGTTACAGTTTCCTTCCGTGAGCGCAGTTCAAGAAATGGTAGATTCTATCGTCGATATATCTCATTTGGCGCGAGACTTGAAAGTGTGTCTCGTACAAGCCGCTGTACCATTATAAGTTTCGCGACACCCCTCCCACTTAGGACTGATTTGATTTAAGTTTTCCGCCTTGTTTTCGTTGCTTACCATGGTCTGTTTTTCACATCTTTTTGATTACCAGTAAAAGCTGACACTGTGAAAATAGGGTAAAACGCCTAAATGTGAATCAAAGCCACTCCAAAAGTACTGCTTTTCTTAGCTTCATCCTAACAGGATATCCGGCATATTGTTGCCTAACAGTGTAAAATATTTTTATCAACCACTCTTGAAAAACCGATCTACCACAATTTTTGAAATTAGCCCTTTTAAATATTTAATTATTAAAAAGAAACGGAATATTTAAACATTTAGGAGCAAAAATAAAACGAAACAGAACATCTAATTTTTCATTACACACTGTAGAACTTTTAAAATACGGACAATCACTGCAGTGTTTTGGGCGGTATTCGAGAAAAAAAATAACTAAAAAGTAACTACAATGTGTTTTTGATGGACAGCGATCACCCAAGGCTGATTTGGTCAACGTTGCCAGTTTTTAAAATTAAATTGCCGCAGTATGTAACCCTTTACTAATCCAGAATATGACCTGCTCAAACCAAAAGAAGTAAACTATTTTAATACAATAATACAAAATGTTGTTGATTTCGAAAAAAAGAATAAAAATTAGCGGAACAAACCTCCAATTTGTCATCACTGTACTCTTTAAATATATGTCGAGAACCTTTACGAAAAGTCACCGCAAAAGTTTGAAAGAAAAAAACAAATTTATCGATTACTAAATCATGTCCCAACAATTTCCAACAATTAATCCACCTTGCCAGTTTTTTTTTAATAAAATGGCGGTTTTATGCAACGGTTCGAACCAAAAGTGGTAAACTAAGTTTTTGTGGATGATGTTTACAAAGGCGCAAATAATTTCAGTGACATTAGTTCTGTTGATTTCGAAAATAGTTTAATGGTGGTACCAATTATAAGTCAACTAAGTTTTAGTCAAATTTAGCTAGTGTTTTGTTGATTTCTTAATCTACCTAAAAGCTGTATTCTTAACTACCTATTTAAATTCTGAATTGTTTTTTTTTATTTCCGCTAGAATTTAAGATATATCTGGCAAAATAATATTTTCGAAAATTGCTGAATATTCCTCATATTTTTTCGTTGCTCTTTACTATTTAAAATGCGGTTTTTCGAAAGCTTTAGACTTGGGAAGCTTTCTTCTTATTAATTAGTTAACCCTTTAAAATGAGAAATTAAAATCCCCAAAAAGTTCACAAAAAGGCCTCTGTTTAACGTTAAGTATTCAAGTTGATGAAATTGAATTATATTGACAAAACTTTGTTAATTTTAGCTTCAGGAGGTCGTTTCTGGTTCTGCGTTTGCAAACGGGAATAACATTTTTTCTTTATATCTTTATATTTCTAAATATCGCAATTTCCAAAAGAACTTTCGAAAAAATTGTTATCGTTTTTTTGAGAGTGGTTGTTTTTTTAACTTTCGGAGTTTTAACTGGTGAATCATTTGTATCTGTCTCATTCAAAACACACACCGTTTTTGATAACGTCTTTGACTGTTCAATACTTGCGAATTTATTTTACGATGATACGAAAGAGCTCGGGTAAAATTCTCTAAAACAATAAAGTTTGCGGAAGCAAGTACAGATGTGAAAAACTAAAGCCACCGTTTTATGTAAAATGCACAATCGTCGAAATATATATTCACTTCATATCTTGTTTTTGCCAATTTGGAGACTCTTTAAATTATCAGATTATAAGTACTTACTAGCTTTATTTAATTTTTTAGGTTTTCTTTGTTTGTGAATTTTTCTATCGAAAATTTTATCCAGTAGTTTTTTTTTTATTTTGTTATTTATTTTACTTTTCCTCTATTGTATTATACTTTTAGTTTTATTGTCGAGGACACATAAATAAATATAAGTTTTATTATTTGATTTTTGTTTTGTTTTATTTTATTTTAGTTTTTCTTTCCTCATTTATGTGCAGTAGTCAAATCGATAATAAATATAACACATACCAACAGTTGATGCTGTATCATCGGCGCTACAGAAAAAAAAAGTCCAATTAAACTTGAAACTGTATTCTAAAATAATCGTTCAATAAGATTTTCACGCACAATTCGAGCTGTTCGATTTCACTTTTTACGTTTTCGATTAATATGCGGGAAAGGTTAAAAATTAACACAATACAACATAATGCAACAATTCAATGTCACGAGATAAACCTTTGTCAAATTTTTTTTTTTTATATTTGCCTGGGTGTAAAGACTAGTTTTTTCTCAGGTACGCATCAATTTTCAGGTAGAAAATTGTGTTCTTTTATTGGCCGAGAGATGGTTCACTGTTACACCAACCAATAGCGCCTTGGCAAATAAGAAAACACATGATTCATTGCATTATAAAATTATTAAGCACCTTTGAATAAAGAGCGGTGTAGATATAGGCATAATCGTGAAACATATCGTTAGCTATAGGATTTAATTTTCAATTTACATGGATGTTATTAGATTACCGTATGAACTTTATGGGCTGGCTATTTTGATACTTCCAGCTTATCTGACGTTCTGGGCTTGATCAAATTTAAGGGCTAATCTAATCAGAGAGATTGCCAAAAAAAAAACAGTCGGAAAGAGAGAAAAAAATTGCCAACAAACCAGAAAGTTCCTACTGTAACATCTCAGCCGTGCTGTCGCCGTACTGTCAAATATGGCACCGAAAAATTACCCTCTTTATTCGAAGCAAACAACCAGGTTCAAATCAGGGCTATAAGTAAAAATGTGTCTATTTCGAGCTGTTGTACAGGGTCTTACATTTTGGCAGCTAAGGTGTTCTTCATAAGTTTATTCGAAAATTTTTGACGCTAGCTACTCTTTAGGACAAAAAGGATTTTGTTACAGGTTAGTGTTAAAATGACTTGAAATCGAAAGGATATTTTTATAACGCCGTCTCGTATCTCAGTTGCTCGGCTCAGTTAGTGTGTTTCTAGCAAAAAAAAAACAAAACGCAAAAAAAAATCACTTGTTTGTGGGGGGACTATGCCGGCGGTTAGCCACATTAGCCAAATTAATAGAGATAATTAGTGGGTGCTTTAATCGTTCGTAAATCAATTTTGAAAATAATTGTAAAACCGTACTACTTTCATATTTTAATATATATATATATATATATATATATATATATATATATATATATATATATATATATATATATTTTTAAAAGATGTAAAAATACCACCAATCTAGAAATGCAGATTTGTAAAACATTTCCACGGTCAAAGGTACAAATTCAATTTTTACAATTTTTGGCATCAAAATCTAACGTTACCAATTTTCGGGCCCAATAATATTTTAGATAAGCGTAGGTTGCTACGTTTTTGAAGGAAAATTTGATTCGAACGTCGAAACATGCGCTTCCAAAAAATATAAATTCACCAAAACTAATCAAAAATCGGTGCAGCAATTTCTAATAGCTATTTGGGTCAAAAAAGATCTTTTTAAGATCAATGTTTTGATATTTTTTAAAATGGTGGCAGGAATTTTTATGCGCATCTACACCCTTTCACTATACAATTAGTACTTGCAAATCAAAATTTTAAGAATGAAAATGGTGAGGTTGCCACGCCCACTGACTGTGAAGATTGAGTTAATGAAATCAACAACAATACTATTCTGGAAAATCGTAAAATTGATACCGAAAACGCACCTCTAAACAAATTTGTATTTCTAAAATCGGAAGTCGTTATACACTCTATACGCTGTATGTAAAATATTTTCCTAGATGCATGCGAAAAGTGTACAATATTGATGTATATATTCAATATTTGACATTCGGCCTATCTACTTAAAACTTAACCTCTACAAGTTGGTTTTCGGTTTCTATCGTAAACGGTTTGAAGACTTGCGCGAAGTTTACAGTGTAGAAACTCTAATTCGATGTTTAAGCTTTACTGATACTATTCCTAGGGACTCTTCAGGTGTTTTACTGTCAGTTTTCTTTGTATAAAATATCTTATCACGACGAGCAACTGCGAACCGATGAGGTGAATAGACTGCCGAGATTTTTCTTTTTTAACTGTACGATTAAGCAAAATTGAGAGCCGTAGGAGAATATCTGGATAATTCTGATACCGCAATTCAGAACAGACTGGTACGTGCGAGTGCGGTTGCGCATTTCGAAGCCGGACTGACAAGGGGTCAGGTAAAGATATTCTAATGCACAAAACGCAAATAACGATACGCACAAAATATATGCCATTACCTCATCCGTGTTGTTGCATGGTTCTTTTTACGTAGAATACTATGTAGAATGACTTTAGAGCATCGCTTTTGCGGCCTACCCGTCAACTCTAACGTTGTAAGATTATGTACGTGTTTAGATATTTTTAGCACAGGAACATCTTTAGTTTTTTTCCGTATTGATTGTTCACCACCAACTACAATCAAGTGAATAAGGCCCAAAAAATGTTTAAAAAGTCACTCGATCGAGGAACTCATCTCGACAATGATGATGTAGCTATTGTAGGCATCAGTGCGAATGTGCAACGCAAGATGGCGTAAAGGCGATGTTCTAAAAGTCGTAAAATTTTGTTGTCTAGAATACGAAGTATTTTTTTTTGTAAAAAGTGAAACTGTGAAGGCGCTTCCTTAGCGGCCACCGCAGTTTCTCGAACCAATTGAACACCAATTTAAGGGTGCATAATAAATTTTAAAATTTGTCGTGTGCATACGTATACTTACGATGACCGAAAATCCTGATTAAATTGATTAATTTAAATTTTTAAATTTAAAGTGATAACATTTTTGTTTCCTTCACAAGAAGCAGGCAGTTGTTTTTTTTTCTTCAATTCTTTAGTAACTAAACTAAGGTGGAGGTTCCAACTTTTAAATGTCAAAGAAGACGTTAAATAAATGGTTTTCGGAAAAATTATATTTCATGGCGTATAACATCAAAAAAAGTTGCATGTGGGAAGGAAGGCGAAAGAAACCGGTTTAAGTTGTTAATGTGGTAGCTCTCGTGGCTTTATTTCGTCGTCCTTTTATTCTCCAGGATTTTCGTCATATCGGATAATTTGGACTGCACATCCTTATAACCGACTTACTAAGTACCTAAATAAATTAGATTTTAGGCTAACGTTGATGTTTAACGACTCTTTCTGACGATCTCTCGTTTGTAACTATAAAACTACCCGATAAAATAATATCTCATATCAGGGAACTATATAGTGATAATTACACGCGAAGGGGGTGCTATGAAACTACAGATTTACGATAAAAATACAATAATAACGGCGAATGATTATAAACAAAAATATACTCGATTTGTAATAAAGCTGCACCTGTATGGCGGCGAACGCAAATTTTCAACGACTAAGCTTAAACTGCGGTTTATCTAATAGAGACTGTTGCGCATGCTGATTGGAGGCGCATTTTATAAACGTGCTAGTAATACAAGCGAACGGGAGGACTCCTTGCGGAAGATAGACCGTAGGTTATTTCACAGTTAATAACGACTCACAAATTACACATTTTTAGCCTTTCCTCGGATGTTTTAGGTGATCTGTTAGACCATACAGACCAAAGTCCGAAAAATATTAAGAACTTATCTGAAAATACGAGATTGCGAATGTTTTTCGATCAAATCGAAAACCCTAAAATTACTTATAGTTTTGTTAAAGTACGTCGACCGAGGAGTCGTATGTTATGCAGTAAAATGTCAATATCGGGATATTATTTTCGAAAAACAATACGGAAACTACAATTTCCGGTTTGATCGATACGTTTGCTAAACAAACGATTCGTCGTTTCTCGAAAATAGCCGGCCTCTCAAACAGTTCTCGCCATATGGACGAAATCCGAAAGAAAATGCCGCCCCGTCATGGCCTATAAGGAAAACTTTCGAAACATTGGTGAGAACTCCCAAACGATTTTCCCAAATTTGCGCAAAACGCTAGACGGAAAATGAACGATCGAAACGCGTCGTTTAATCCGACAGGTGTGAACGCGGCGGAACAGTTTGTCCTTAGCCCCGCGAAACCATCGGGCCGCGGACAAACGGCACGACTTTGCCGGATTAAGCGATGTCACAGAATGTTGTTTACCTAAACGCACAAATAATTGTGGGGGAATGTTAAACGAAAAACGCACAAAATTGTTTGTAGCTTTTAATATAGTTTTTGTTTATATGCGGATTAATGTTAATATACGGAGTGAACCGAGCGAAATTGACAAACAGGTTTTGCTAAAATATTCATAATTTTAATAATTTTGCAAGCTAAAAATTGATATTAGAATATTTGGCAAAAAAAAACTGTATTTTACAATTCCAATTCAGAAATAATTTGGTTCTATTTTAAACGAAATTAATATCACTCAATATCCATGCTACTCAAATTCTGCTTATATAAAAAACAATTTCCACTGAAAAGAAAGAAAATAGTACTTCTCGTGTGTCTTCGTCCCAATACTAAATGTGATAAAATCCAATTACGTTCTCTAGAACAATTTCCGCGCCTAGTAATTTCGATTTTTGGAAAAATTTTAAAGGCAAAAGACTCAAGCTCCCCAAAATTTATTACATCATCGCCCAATTGTTTTTTTTTTCTTATAAAGATGAGAATAAAGTTGTTCTACCTCACAATTTACCATCTAAATTTAATAAATTTTAAGCAGCTGTGATACCAACTATCTGTGATGAATTTTCTACCGCGTTTTCGGGAACGTAGCGAAATATTTCGGCGATGCGAAATCTAATATGGCAGCGGAAAAAACGAGATGGCTGCTTGAGTGCAACCAACGTCGCCCTCGCGGAAAAATTTGCTACGGACCTCGCAAATGTTATTGCTCGCCTCATACCTATAATTTTGTTGGGAAAATTTTAATTGAAACGGCTACGACTACCTCAATTTTTTGATAACCGTCGTTCTTTCGTTTTACAAA